ACTTGACTGCTAACCAGAAGGCTGGCGGTTCAAACCCACCAGCCACTCCTTGGAAGGAAGGTTGGGCAATCTACTTCCGTAGTGATACTGCCTTGGAAACTCAAGGAAGGGTCGCTATGAGTTGGGTCTGACTCGACGGCACATAACAACACAACAACAACAGTTATTACATTAAATGTAAATTGTCTACTCTGGTGGCTTCTAGCCAAACAACAGACAGCCATATAGGGTGAACATTTACACCAGGTAGATGCACTCCTTAGAACCATCAATCATTGAAGAACAGAAAGGCAGTATTCGCATAGGGAGATAGCTCAGGGGGCAGGAATGCATAGGAAAGAAGGGCACAGGGAGGAGGTAACTACAGGAAGTGGGAAGAGGGCTGTTACATTGTGGCAACTGAAGTCAATGACATTAAACAAAATGTGTATGAACTGCTGTATGGTAAGTGCTTTGCTCTGTAAACTTCCACCCGAATCACAATAATTTTTTTAAAAAAAGTAAATTGCCTTAACACATCAGTTAAATGACAGAGATGACCAATCAGATAGGATTTCCTAAAAAAGATTCAAATATATGCTGTCCACAGAGTATTGTGGATAAAACTAAAAGGACTGAAACAGATATACCATGAAAACAATAACCAAAAGAAAGCTAGAGTAGCTGTATTAATATTAGACAAAGCAGATTTCAGAACAAGGAATATTAACAGCAATAGAGACATTATATAAAACTAAAAGGATCAATTCACCAAGAAGACAGAATAATTCCAAATGTATATGCACATATGCATCCAACGACAGAACTTCAAAATTTGTAAAGCACAGCTTGATAGAACTGAAATGAGAAGTAGATAAATACACAATTTTGCTTGAAAATTTAGGTACTCCTCTTTCAGTAATCAATAGAGCAAGTAGATAGAAAGTCAATAAGGATACAGAACACCTGAATAACACTGTCGACTGACCTGATTTAACTAACATTTTTAGAACACGACATTCCAAAACAAAAAAATACACAATTTTTAAAATTGTGAGCAAGGTATATTCATGAAGATAAATGATAACTGGGCCATAAAACAAATCTTAGCAAATTTAAAGACTTGAACCAATATATATATGTATTCTTTGACCATGTTGTTGTTGTTATGTGCCACCGAGTCGGCCCCCAACTCATAGTGACCCCTCCTTGGTTTCCGAGGCAGTATCACTACGGAAGTAGGATTGCATCTTTGACCATAACAGAATTAAATTCTAAATCAATGTCAGAAATTTATCTGGTAGATTCAATATAATCCTAATCCAAATTCCATTAATATTCTTTAAGGACATGGAAAAACCAATCACTAATTTTACACAGAAAGGAAAAAGAGCATGGATAAGCAAAGAACTACTGAAGAAAAAAAACAAAGTAGGAGATCTCACACTCCCTGATCTCAAAATGTACAGTCATCAGTAATCAAAATTGATACAGACACAGTGATCAAAACAGCCTGGTGTTGGTACAACAATAGACACATAGACCAGTGGAATAGAATTGAGAATTCGGAAACAGATCCATCCCCAAGCAGACAGCTGATCTTTGACAAAGGATTGAAACCCATTCAATGGGGAAGAGATAGTCTCTTTAACAAATGGCATTGGCAAAACTGGATATCCATTTGCAGAAAAATTAAACAAGATCCATACCTCACATCATACAAAATAAAGAACTCAAGATGGGTCAAACACCTAAAGGAAAAATCCAAAACTATAAAGTTAATCAAAGATAAAATAGGAGTAAACTTAGGAGCCCTAATTTATGGTATAAACAGACTATCAAGCATAACCAAAAATAAGAAACAGCAGAAAAGAAACTGATGATAGGACCTTATAAAAATTAACTTCTTACACGCACCAAAGACTTCTCTAAAAGAGTAAAATGACAACTTACAGATTGGGAAAAAATGTTGGACAATAACATATCCGACATGGAACTTATCTCTAAAATTTATAGAAAACTTCACACCTCAACATCAAAAAGACAAACGATCCACTTCAAAAATGCTCAAAGGACAACAACAGACACTTCACCAAAGGAGATATTCAGGCAGCCAACAAACACATGAAGAAATGCTTGCAATCATTAGCCATTAGAGAGATGCAAATCAAAACAAAAATGA